TGCATATAACGTAAAATCATCATTTTTGATCAAGAAAAAGGAATTGTTAAGATTAACAATTCCTTTCTTAGTCAAATGAAAAATTACCCACTTAGTTGAATCTGAATGGCTTTTTTTTTTAATTTCAAAAAAGTATTTTTAAGACGTTGAGGACATTTAGAGAAACGTGACGAGTGTTCCGGATATTATTCCAACCATATACGGCTTTAAAAAACAGTTTTGAGGTTTTGAATCCAAGACGTGTAAAGTATATTGATGAGAGACTGCTTTGAAAGAAAAAAATGTAACAATTTGTTATGTAAGAGGTCTGTGTTTTTTTTTTTGTTGCAGTTCAGAAACATTACTGTCAAACCGTGTATATTTAAAGAGCAATGTCGCAGTTGCAGAAGTTCCACTGGTTTCGTCACCGTTAGGTCGATTTGTTCTCACAATTACGCAAAGACAACGTAACGGTCGGGAAACGCGCGGAAAAAATGCGGGATCAGTTTCACCGTTCGAGTATCGAACGTGCTCGGGAATATTCAATTTTTCGGTCTGCCGCGTCGCATGATTGCTGCGCGTATCTTCCACGAGAGATATAAATTGTCTCGGAAGAGCGTCGATATAACGTAGAATCAAATACAAAACACTTTCGACAGATTTTCGAATTCGATATAAGAATTACTAAAGCGTCTGATAAAATAAAAATTGTTCTTGATATGGAAAAATTGATTTCGACTTGGACAATAGAAAGGCAATAACTTGAAAAAAATAATAATCCTTCTTTCCTTAAGTTGCAAAAATTAAGGACCATGACATTTTTATAAATCTAAGAATAATTCTTATCTTTTCTGATATTTAATTTGTTTGCACTCTAAAGACTGTACCTATAAAGCACATAAAAAACTTAAGCAATAAAGCAATAAACTAATTGGACAATCACAGTAAAGATCATAAGGCCATTAACGTAATCAGCAGCAAATCCAGCATGTTGATTTTTTTTACTGCTTACACATTTTATTGCGTAAGTTTTTTGTGTACTATAATCTTCAGCAAATAAATTAGAGATGTCAGAAAAGTTAAGAGTTATTTTTAATCTTCCTGACTAAAAATAAAGTGATCATCCTCTTTCATTCTTTTCATTCAGAATTGCTCGAACGAATCCCTCGACAGATCCTCGCATCCAGTATTATTCGTGCGATCGTGGAACGAATTATACGAACGGTTTAGCAAAGTGTGCGAACACCCGCGGGCGGGTTCGGCAGCCCTGTGATCGCTTATTATCCTGCTGATACCCCGCGGAGTTAGTCACGATGATCCTCGACCGGTCCTGCATCATCTTGTCTGATTTTTCTTTCGCTTTCCATCACCACGTTCTCGCCTCTGGATGCTATTATCCCGTATTGCCCGAAAGCAATTTTCTCCGTCGCTTTCTCCAATCGCTTTTGCGGCCTCCCTTGGCTCGCCGCACGACGTTTAAAGGGTCGTTAAAATCGGACGGAACTCATGTGGTACTTGAGCGTAAAATGAGTATCTCAAAAATACCGAGGTCGAAGTAGATTAAATAGAAGACTGAATTATTAATATTATTAAAAATGATGTTATACATATCCAGATCAGTATCTTTAAATTCATGCATTCTGTCTAAAGAATCGTCTACTAATTGTAAGTAAATAAATAATTGTCTATATTATATAATAAAAAAGTTTATTTATACGCGGAATTTATTAATGCGGAATTTAGAGCCATGCGATGTCGCAAACGTCTCAGAAAGTTCTTTAGTCATGGAAGTAATTCGCGTTAGTTAGTAATGAAGCAGAGTGTCTCAAGTTTTGTCGATGCACCAGGAAAGTCGTGCGTCTCGCATAGTTAAAAGTTTGAAAGACTTATGCGCAAAGTGTGAAACGTGGAATTCTGTCTAGTTCAATGCTCGGTCGCTTGTTTTACATCGAGTGTGTTTTTGCGGCCACTAACTTGCTTGCCGAGTCGATAATTTGGCTTTCTGCCTTCTATTATTACATTCATAATGTCAAATTATATTTAACTTGAATTATTTTTAATCACTTCTGTAGAGCGCCACTACTTTTCAATATGGTGCATTTTCAATTTAATTAAAAAAACAGAGTTAATTTAACACAAGAAAATGTATTGTATTAAATTATTTGACTGAACGTTCATTCCGTTCATTATTTATTATACATTAAACAAATTAATCTTTAATAAATATTTGCTCGAACAGTTTCGATTAAATAATTTGTTAAAAATGTAAATGTATATTTTTTTAATACAAAAACCATTAATTTATTTTAACTATTTTTTTTATTGAGTAAATATTTTTTATTGTAAGTAAATGTTTACTTATTAAATTTTTTTCAGTGTAAGTGCATATGTTAATATTATTTATTATAAAACCAAGTGATTTCAACTTCTGTGAAATGAACTGATTTACATTTTGACATGCATGGAAGTAAAAAAATAACAAAATGCTACTTAATTCAACGGATTGAGTTACTAACTTCGATTGATCAGTGTATCTCACAACAGTTTCATTCGTAATAAATATCAAAGCACGAAAATTTACCTCATTCATCTCATTCTACCAATGCAATTTAAGCAAACGTTATCCTTCGATCATCTGTTGTTGCTTACAACGCACATTTTTCACCGGGAAGTGAAATAAAAGGAAGCGATCACGTACTGCGCGATTGATGCGCACATTTCTAATCAAGTAAATGCGAGAAACAATGCGGTCTGGCTGAGAGCCAAATTTGCGTAAACAAAATTGAGTTCGCTGTGGAAATCAGGTCGCCATATATCTCATTGTTACAGCCACCTCTCTTGTCCCTTCGCTTCTACCAAAATCCAAACAGCATCGCGCGGAAGGTCAACCCGGAAAACTTCCCTTGTTGTTCCGCTGTAGTCGAAAAGTCTGGCGCCGATATGACGGCGGTCCAACGGTGCATCCTGTTCGGAGGACGAGCGTCAGTATTCTTTCGCCTCCGGCGCGATGTGCACCGTCTATATTCTTCTAGTCACCTTCTAGTCTTCATCTCAGGTTCAGGGGATATTATCGAATTCATTTTGTTCGCAATCAATTCTCATTTCGCGAAATCAACTACGCTCTCGCTATCGTAATATCGATTCGCGATTTTTTTCGCAATTCTCATTTTTATTTTACTCTAATTATACACGTCTAACTCGTTGCGATAAATCACTCGTCAAATCGGACGAATTAAAGGGAATGATTTGAAACTTAGAAAATACTTTGATTAATTCGATAGATAGGAGAAATTTCCACATTTAATTTTGGAAATTTTCCAACAGATATAAAAGCAAAAGCAAATTACAAAGTAAGTGAATCACACACGCGCCGTTTGTTTCGGAGTAAAAAAGGTTGAACGTTTCAAAGCTTACAGCGTTTGATAAAAGTTTCTGTGGTGATAAAGGAGCACGATCAGGACAAGCCTTCCTGTCTAGCTATTTTTCACGTTCCTCGCTAGCGTTTTGTCAACCACGAGGGTATCGAGCGAAGGAGTTCCTCGAGATGTTGAAGTTCCGAGTCGCGTCCGGTCAACGGAAGTGTGATAGCATGGTGAGAATCTTAATTGTTTGAGACTTAAATCTCAACTCGATCCATGAGAGACGTCGCTGGTAGAAAGTCAATTTTTCTGGATTTATCTTAAGAGAGATTCCATATGAATCCTTCGTTCAATTTTGCCACTGCAACGTCAACAAAAAGCTCGACACGATGCGATTTTTTTTCTTATTTTACATAAGCCCGGTTTTTCATCTCTAACTTGTTAGATTTACGCTCGTTCCCATCAATGTAGATTAATTTTAATCTCGGTTTAACTTTTTTTTTCTTTTTCTAATTGTTCCTAGACAAAAAGTTCAAAATTGAAACATAAGACGTCTTTTAAAAAATATAAAAGATGTTCTTACAATCTTTTAGACGGTTTTAAAGGTGCTGTATCATGTTAACGCTCGATGCACATTTTTAGTATCAAAATAGATCACGTGATAAAAATTGTTGAATATCACATTTATTTCAACCCTTTGACACTCAATAAAAAACTTAGCGTACAGGCTAACGTTGGGAAGTTTTCAAACATCATTTCTCTCGCCTAAATGATTGGTGTTTACCAATTTTCAACTGGGTTGGAATTTTTTTGTTTTAAAAATAAAGTGACTTGACTAAAACGGAATTAGGGCAAAAGGACACGATTTGAAAAATAGCAAAAACAAGAAACAAAAAAAAACAAAAAGCACATATTGTAAAATAGATTTAAAACTGATGATTTGTAGTGTGTCTTAAAGTTATCATTATAAAAGCCATCAGTTTAATGACTAATCATAGCTAAAAAATATAATTATTTTATTATCATTCGGTTAAGTTAGATTAAATTTAAATCATGAGTTAACCATAAAATGAAAAATTGGGGTATAATCCACCACCTTTGTAGGACGGGAAATCTATGGTAGCGCTGAAATAAAATTACAGTGTCACATTATGAGGTAGAGAATACAACGAAATAATTAATTATAACAAATCTTGTTCAATAAAAATCTGCAAGATTTTAAAAATAGATCTCTAAAAGTTAGTAAATATTCACGGGGGTGCTTTTGCTATGAAAAAGTTGATAATTTTAAATAGTATAAATATATATATGTATATATACATATATAATATAATATTTATCTTAAATATTCCGTGGCATTTATATTTCATCGTGTTTTGATCCACCGTGACGGTAATTTGTCGTCGCTTCGCCTGTGCTGCCGCTTTCAGGCAGCGTTGCGTGTCGACGTCTGAGAAGTTGCCTGCCTTTAGGCGCAACGAAGGACTGCAGTAGTTCTCAATCACTTTTCTGGTTTGATAACTCGCTCGGTGATTCACGATATAATAATTAAATCGTATTTATTCGCATTAATTTGTATTAAACGATTGTAGCTCAATTAACTCTCATGTGTATGTATCGTCATTAAATTTTTCTGACCGCATGTTCGGTTATCTGTCTCAGGTGAATCCAGGAAGCAAGGCGGCTCAACAAGGGGTGAGAGAGGGTGATTTCATCAGTAATATTAACGAAAGAAGCACTCGAGATCTAACCAACAGCGAGGCACACGCTCTATTACGTAATTCTGGGGAACAGTTGAAACTCGGTCTCAACCAGTAAGTGACCGAAATATTTAGATTCTCTTTGTATTGTGTACACTAAAATAGTACAATAGTACATTAAAACAATTTTCTAAATCCAAGTAATTTTTTTCTTAAATAGTTCCAAGCAAACATTCTGCAAGTAAATATTTATTATAAATGTAAACATCTATTACTTATAACAAGTGTATATTACTATAAAGGAATGTTTACTTGGAACTATTTAAGAAAAAAATTACTTAGATTAGGAAATTTTTTTCCAGTGCAATAAAGCAGAATTTTATTGTTCTGTTTTTGTTAGTGTAATGCGACGAGAAATGTTATTTTGATCCCCATCTGTTTTTTTTTTGTCGCAGAGAAAATATCGGCTCGCCGAAGAGGAGGATCTACAGGAGCAGTCTGCAAGAGAACACCACTACCGAAATTCAGAACAGTAGGTATTCTCTGCGAAAACCGATCGATCAACCTCTGGCTTATGGGAAGTAATCGTAATTCTGTCATTTCTGTGCCATAGAGATCACCACAAGGACCACAACGACGACGCGCACACGGACGGAGTCGGAGAGGAACGTTGCCAGTAAGTTCTCTGTTACCTTATGCAAACATCAATTTTCGCATTGCTCTGCTAGTGATGGAACACTCTTAGCATAATTGAAAATTGTATTTACTTGTAAAACGCGCGGCTGACAAGAGAGGAACGCTCGATACAAGCGTGCATCGATAATTAACAATTTACAAGTCGTATCTGACAAAAACTTTTGACGTCGAATAGCTCATGATTAATTAAGTTACGTAATACAGCGTCGAATTTACGAGCACTTTCCAATTTAATCGCTGTTTGAGCAATAAGCCGCCGCGTTCGATATCGATTCCCGATTAATCTCGGGTTGCATCAAACGTCAAACAAGTCGTCATTTTTCAATAAATGTTTAACGTAGCCATCCTTTTATATACACGTTTATAATTGTAGCGCTATAGTAATCCAAATAATTTCGGTAACATAATTAATTCATAAAGCAATCGCGCGCGAGTTGCGTAAATATTCTCTAGAATATTAATGGACCACAAGACAATTAACGCGCGTTGACACGTTTAATGATTAACAAATTCAAAACTTTACGACTCCGATCGTTCTCGTTCGTGCGTCGCGTTATATCGGAGAACCCAGAAATTACCCACGCGTGACTGCCGATGTTTGATCGAGCACAATAATCCTGCTAGTTAACTGAGCGTACAATGCGCGTAGTTTAATTATCTCCGATGATCTCAACGGCGAACAATGGCAGCCGGTTCCTTTATGCGAGACAACCGCAGAAACCAAAGTTAGCGTCGGTGACGTTTTGGTTGGTCGAATTAATCATGCTGGCTTTTCATACTTCGGCGTTTATCGATGTCTAGCAATTATTTATTATAGGAGAAAAAATTTTCTCCCATTCAGTCTGACGGGAAACAAATTTTTCTAATTCGAACAGTCTTTTGGGTATGTTAAGTTAGCACCCCAACTATAGTACTCAGGAGTTCTGATTAGAGTTCCCACTTCCTTTTGACGAGACAAAGAGTTCCCTATAGTTAATAACAAGAGTTCCGCTCAATAAACATTTTTTTTATATTTTTTAAAAATGGGGTGCTAACTTTTTATCGAATTTCGAGGTGGAATAGTTCTGAGCGGCTTAATAGCTTCAATTTGCGATTGCTTGGAGTTTCTGATATGTAAAAAAAATTTTCGAATATTAAAAAAAAAATTAAAAATTTTTAAAAAATTAATTTTTAGATACAATAGTTCTGATGAT